TATGTATATACATATACATATATACATAGTAGTTGAAGATTATTTGAGAGAGGAAGACATTAGTGTTAGCAGCTTAGGAGGACCAGGAAAGGCCTTCTGTAGAAGGTAGGATTTGAGTGGAATCCTGAAGGAAGCCAGGAAAACTAGAAGCAGCTGCTTTTCATATGGCCTTGAGGGGCTGTTTCAGGAGTTTTTGGATAGATGAACTCTGGAAAGGCTCATTTCAATGATGCCAAGTTCTTAGACAATTCCTAGAGGTAGTAGGAAAAGGAAGGAGAAGCAAGGTGGGGGAGGGAATAAGCATTTATATAGTGCCTACTATGTGGCAGGCATAATGCTAAGTGCTTTTTACAAATACATCTTACTTGAGCCTTACAACAGCCCCGTGAGAGAGGTGCTATTATTATCCTCATTTTATACTTAAGGAAATTGAGGTAGACCGAAATTAAATGACTTGCCCAAGGTCACGCAGCCAGTAAATATCTGGGGCCAGATTTGAACTCAGATCTTTTCTGACTCCAGGCAGCATGGTACAGTGGAAAGGACATTGACTATGGAGTCAGGGGAACTGGGTCTGAATACTGCTTCTGATATTTATTACCTATATGACCTTGGGCAAGCCATTGAAATTCCCTCGGCCTCATTTTCTTTATTTTTAAATAAAATGGTTGTACTAGACGACCTCTGAGGTCCCTTCCAATTTTAGATTTATGATCCTATGACTCCTGCTCTCTCACTTCTGAAAAGTCTAAATAATGTAGGCATTCTCTATGGGCCACTAGGAAGATGCTCTGATTGCTGTGTTCAGGCCTAGTCAAACGCTGCTTCTGAAAAAACAAACAAACAAACAAACAAACAAGGAATGGGAAGAAATCCAAGCCATAAAAAAGAAATATGTTCCAACATCACTAATAATTAGAGAAATGCCAACTTAAAAAACCAGGAGGTTCAGTCTCACATCCACTAAATTGACAAAAAAAAAATGTCAGTTTTTGGAGGGACTGCAAGAAAATATGTATACTAACACATTTTTGGAGGAGATAGAAATTGGTCCAGTCACTCAGGAGAGCGATTTGGAACTAGTTACAAAAAGTCATTGAATTATGAGTGCCCTTTGACCCAGAGAACCACTATGAGGCCAATACCCCTCCCCCCTCAAGAGATCAAAGAAAGAGGAAAAGGACATTTGTGTACAAAAATATTTATATCAGCTTTTTTTTTTTTTATTGTAGCAAAGAACCAGAAACTCAGGGAGGGTGCTCATCATTTGGGTAATGGTTATATGGATGGAACATTATTACATAGTGAGAAATGATGTAAGAGACAACATCAGAGAACTCCAGGAAGATTTGTATGAACTGATGCAGAGTGAAAAGAAAAGAACCAGGATAATAACTTATGCCATGCCTGCAACATTATAAAGAACAATAATTTTTAAAGAATTTTTAAAGAAATCTGATCAATGACCAGCTACAACTCCAAAGGACCGATAATGAAGCAAGCTCCCTGCCTCTTGGCAGAGAGGTGATGGACTCAAGGGATAGAATGAGCTATATATTTTTGGATATGGCCAGTATATGGCTTTATTTTGCTTGATTATGCTTATTTGTTATAAGGGTTTTATTTATTTATTTTTCTTTTTTAAACATTTTTTAAAAAAAATTTTTTTTTTTTTGGCTAGGCAATGGGGTTAAGTGACTTGCCCACGGTCACGCAGCTAGTAAGTATCAATTGTCTGAAGCTGGATTTGAACTCAGGTCCTCCTGACTCCAGGGCCAGTGCTCCANAAAAAAAATTTTTTTTTTTTTTGGCTAGGCAATGGGGTTAAGTGACTTGCCCACGGTCACACAGCTAGTNATTTATTTTTCAATTGGTTTCGAGGAGAGGTAGACCAGTGATAGTGTTGCAAAACAAAAACAAAAACAAAATAAGAATAAGA